CAAAGCCCCTCCCCCACCCCTCAAACCCCTCCCCCACCCCAAAGCCCCTCCCCCACCCCAAAGCCCCTCCCCCCAGGGCTCAATAAAGAGGAATTGGCCCCTCCCCCACCCCCGGTGTGTGAGTGTGAGGGGGGAGGGGCTTTGGGGTGGGGGAGGGGCCGGGCTCAGTTTGGGCCCAAATTCCAACCAAAGAATTCCCAAAATTCCCACAAAATTCCCGAATTTCCCCCCCGAAACCCAAAGAAAAATTCCCAAGGACCCCGAAATTCCAACGGAAATCCCAAATCCCACCCAAAAAAAAAATCCCCAAATTCCAACCAAAGATCCCCAAAATCCCAACAAAAAAAAAAAAAATGGGAATTCCCAGCCAAAACCCCCAAAATCCGAGGAAAAATTCCCCAAAAACCCCAAATTCCACCAAAATATTCCCAAAATTTCCCCCCAAACCCCAAACCTCAACGAAAAAATTCCCAAATTTTCCCCAAAATCCACCAAAAAATTCCCAAAAAATTCCCAAAATTCCCCCAAAATCCACCAAAAAATTCCCAAAAATTCCCCCAAAATCCACCAAAAAATTCCCAAAAAATTCCCAAATTTCCCCCAAAAATCCACCAAAAAATTCCCAAAAATTCCCCCAAAATCCACCAAAAAATTCCCAAAAAATTCCCAAAATTCCCCCAAAAATCCACCAAAAAATTCCCAAAAATTCCCCCAAAATCCACCAAAAAATTCCCAAAAAATTCCCAAATTTCCCCCAAAATCCACCAAAAAATTCCCAAAATTCCCCCAAAATCCACCAAAAAGTTCCCCAAAATTCCCCCAAAATCCACTAAAAAATTCCCAAAAATCCCCAAATTTCCCCCAAAATCCACCAAAAAAATTCCCCAAAATTCCCAAAATTCCCCCAAAATCCACCAAAAAATTCCCCAAAATTTTTCCCCAAAAATCCACCAAAAAATTCCCAAAAAATTCCCAAAATTCCCCCAAAATCCACCAAAAAATTCCCCCAAAATCCCCAAAATTCCCCCAAAATCCACCAAAAAA